AGTCGATCGATCGATTCTGTTCGAAATACTTGCGCGGAAAGGTGCTCCCATGAAATATGTGAACATCCTTCGTGCTCTATACTCGAACACTACAGGCCGCTTCAGGGTCTACAGTGTCCTTTCGTAAGCTTTCCGACCACAAGTGGCGTTCGTCTGGGTTGTCCGATTTCCCCCTTTTTGTTCAATTTCGTTGTGGATTCTATCATGGAGTGTTCCCTTGCGGAATCTCATGATGTAGACGTTGAAGTGCTGCCTGGTGAAAAAATAGTTGACCTAGATTATGCGGATGATATCGTCTTGCTTTTCGACGATGTTACGACGGCGCAATCAACCCTGAATAGCCTGTCCAGAGTGGTCCCATTATTTGGTATGCACTTCGTGCCTTCAAAGTGCAAAGTGTTGCTGCGGGGCCACCATACGCTTGATTTCTCCTTGACGCTTGCTAACTTATCTTGGCAGCTGCATTTGAAACGATGTGCGCATAGAAACTGACGTCAGCTCTTGTATTGCGAAGGCCAGAGCTGCCTTTTTGAACGTGCTGCATTTCTGGCGACAGAAGGGAGTTTCCCTCCGTCTGAAAGGCCGTGTATACAAGGTCATAGTGAGGGCGGTTCTGCTCTATGGTAGTGAGACTTGGCCTTTTCGGTCTGAAGATCTGAGGCGCCTTCAAGTCTTTGATCATCGTTGTTTGCGAAGCATTGCTAGTGTCGGATGGCACCAGCGTGTCCACAACGATGATGTGCGTAGGCGAATACTAGGTGATGATAATCATGTTAGCTCCGTAGAACAACAGATAGCACTGAATAAGTTGCCCTGGCTGGAGCACGTTCTACGTATGCCTGGTCAGCACTTACCTAGGAGGGCCTTGTTCAGTCTACCAGGTGTAGGGTGGCGCAAGGCTCGAGGTGGACAGAAGTTGACTTGGCAGCAGGAAATGAAGTCACTGACGCCTAAACTGGGTGCCATTGTTCCGTCTCGCCTTCCGAGCTGGAGTCCACGTGACTCACCTTGTGCTTGTCTCGAGAGTTTACAGGACGGCTCGCAGTAGACACCAGTGGCGCGTCTGCTGACGGCTCCTAATCGGATTGTCTGTTTAAAGTGTGTTTGGTGCTGAGTTATCTGCGGGGTAATGGCTGATTATGACGCGTGGCAGTGAAAGCGGCAAGGAAGCTGTCTCGCCGATGCCGAGTTATCTTTGCGCGATAGCCAGCTGTTTGTGACGGTATGTTGTCTACACAAGGTGTAGGCGCCTTGACCTGAATGTTTGTTTAGGGCATTCAGGTTTTCAGGTAAGTCCCCCTTCTCTCCCTCCTATTCTTTATTTCATAGGTCCTCATAGTTTTACGGCAGCGAAGCATCAGTTCAAATGGCTGATGTACTGCTGTTGATGATGATGATGTGTGGTCTACCCCCACAGGTCCTCCCTCTTACCAGGAAATCGAACAGGAGCTCCGCCACATGAAGCGTTATATAGCCCCTGCACCTGATGGGCTTCTTCCAGCTCTTTTTAATGATGGTGGTGCTTCTCTGCTTCGAGAACTCACCGCTTTGTTCTCGAAAGTTTGTCAAAAATGGAAGTTCCATTTTCTTGGGGTGAATCGATAGTCGTCCTCATCTTCAAAAAGGGCCTGCGCATAATCTGCTCCAGCTACAGAGGCATAAGTTTAGTCCCCGTCGTTTGCAAGCTGCTGACGTCCATCATAATTTGCAGGCTATCCCCCAACGCGCGAATCGTGGCAACGCGAAGAACAAGCTGGGTTTCGCCCTGGTCATGACCGCATCGACCAAACCTTCACACTCCGCCAGATCCTTGAGCTCCGCCATGTGTATCCGAGGCCAGCGATTGCTGTGTTCTTGGATATCCGTGCAGCCTTCGATTCTGTCAATCGGACGGTACTGTGGCACCGCCTACTGAGGAATGGCGTCCCCGAGAATTTCTCCATACCGCGCGCTCTCTATAATCTGGCCTCGTGCAGGGTTAGGACTTATGGCAAGCTTTCGCCTACCTTTGTGGTCCCCATTGGAGTTCGACAAGGATGCTCTACCTCCTTTTTCCTATTCAACTTTGCCATTAAGGATGTCCTAAAGAACGCTCTGAGCGATTCGTTGAATGCTAGCCTTGAGCTCCTTCCAAGTAGTCTAGTTGTTGCGTTGGATTATGCTGATGATATCGTCTTGCTGGGTTACGATCCACACGTCGTCCAACTTGCACTAAACCGCTTGTCGATTGAAGCATCAAAGTATAGTATGTACTTTTCGCCATCCAAATGCAAGGCTCTCTTTCAAGACTGGCAGGTGTCTGCACTCACTCACTCAGAACCGGCGCACCATTTGTAGGTACGCTGCATTCGATTTACTAACCGCGTGCTTGCATGCTAAGTCTATTTATTTCAGGTGGTGGGTTTTCAATTTTGTCTTAATGCTTTTCTTTCTCATATAAATGCCTACTTATACTCTTCTATAAACTTGCACACGTCGCTTAAGCCACTTGTAGTTAATTTCGATAACATTTTCGTGTTTGTGGTATTCCGTAAAATATACTTTCCGACCTCGTGAACCTATCTCGAATTCGTTTGTAAACAACTTATTTCATATGCTCATTAATTTAAGATTAATGTCACCGTTTCCTTATGCATAACTCCATTGATTTTATTTGTTATCTTTCTCTCAAGTGATTGGCTGTTGCTTGGTATATATATATATATATATATATATATATATATATATATATATATATATATATATATATATATATATATATATATATATATATATATATATATATATATATATGGTTGGCGGCATCCGGTTTCCGATTTGCCTGTCACTGTGGCCAGCCACAGGACGCCTGCGTCTACAGAGGGACCATGGGTGACTTGTGCTGCACCAACCACACACCCCATATCCAGTGTAAACCCGAAGGAATAAAACCGGGAGGCATGTGGATGGGAGCCACGTTTCATCAACGGAGCCGGCCCACACTTCTTCACAGGCAAACATAAGCACACTGTATTTAGGAATCAAGCGCACACAAGGCGGTGGCTGGACCGTAGTCCGCTCCACACTGAGTGCATGGAACTGCTCTTTGAGCCTAGCACGGCCACAAGGACCGTGCACCCCGTCCTCTCCAGCAACGATCAGCTATCTACTGGAGCCAGTATGAACGAGGCAGTGGGTAATAGATAGGTAGGCACCTTGTCAACATGCACATCAAGAGCAGCCACACCGGGGATATCAAGCAACAGCCATTCACTTTAAACGACAAGCTGAAATAAAATAAATCCAATAATGCATACAGATACGTTGGCATAATTCTTCCCTAAATTATCATATGAAGTAAGTTGGTTAGCAACGACTCCGCGATAAGTAAGGAATGTCCACAAGTTACTTAAAAATGCTACAAACGCAACAAAGTTACCGAAGATAAGTGCAATTAGCGTAAGCAAGGTGGCCAGTTACTAGAAGATTATTCAGCTAGACAGCACAAACCAAATAAAGTGGAATGAAATTTATCCAGCTTAAAAAGACCTAGTTTAAGTGTAAGTTGGTTTAGCCCAACTGCGGTGAAGAAACATCAAGAATGCAACATCAGCCTCAGTATATATATATATATATATATATATATATATATATATATATATATATATATATATATATATTCCAGAGCATGCTACTGAGCAAGTGATGAAACGTTTGACATTAAATTACTCAGCTCGGAGAACGAATCAAAACGTTAATTACCAACCCGAGCTACAGGTATTCCGAATCATTAGTGAGTTCTCAGTGAATTAGACAATTTTCAGTAATAGATTTCATCATCTAAAATACGAATACGATGCTGCAAAGCAGCACAGCTAGATGGCGTCTCTATCGACTTGCTCATTGACCGTTGTTCTTCTGAATCAGGCGGTCGTTCCCTGGGTCGACTCACAGAGTTGAGCCAACACCAATGTGGCAGCGTAGGTCAGTCAATCAGGTAAATGAGAGAGCGAGTGTTGACAAGGTAGAAGGGACAAAACAGCCGATTAGTCGTCAGGACCTATCGATACAGAGTGGTGGTGGGAAGCGGTCGTCCAGGAATGAGTTGGAAGGAACATTTGCAAAAATTGTGTAGCCACTGACATCTGTTCTTATTTGATCAAGGATCACACACCAAAGCCAGGAACCGAATGAGCTTGGAGCACAACTTGCGATGTGAATTAGCCGAACTAAGCTACATCAGCTGTCTCATGGGCTTACATCACCTCTTGAGTTAATAAAAATTGCTCAAAAATAAATGTTTCCTTTATTTGCATTATCAAAAGTAATTAAAAACAGTTCACCTTCCGTAATTAAGTCGAAATATACAGTAGTTAATAGGTGATTAGCTTTTTAAACTAGGTATTTTTTTAGGTTATTGTTTATAGTGAACCCGCTTTGTGGGTGTCGACTACAAATGGGTAGAGAACCACTGCTCCAGCATATTGTTGACTGGTTTCGTGCAGGAGTTACGGAATACGCAGCTTTCGCGACAGTGTTACGATCAAAGTGGCGTTCCAGTATGGAACGCTCTGCAGCCTAGCCACCACACTGCGTACGTCCGACATGCTTGCTTCCCTGAACTTTGTCTCAGTGGTGAGTGTGTTCGACTCCGAATCCAACTCGACTTTCATTCGCACGCCTCCTAGTCCTAATTCTTCAGATTCACACAGAACATGACGTGTATATGCAGAGCTGTAGTTGACGCAGCGCAAACAACCCGGGATCTGTCTTCGGGTGCTGGAGTTTTGAAGCCGTTTATGATTATATCGGCTGGTGAATCTGGAAACGGATATGGCCAATGGCTAATAATTTCTGCGCACCGCTTTTCCCCAGTTCGAAGTCAGCATGTGATCTAAATCTCTTTTTTAATCTCCTTTCGAATTCCTGCCATCTTCGATCGGTTGTGGTTGGTTGGGCATGCTACCCTGTAACAGTGCAACTCTCTCAACCCGAGAATTTTGTACTTTTCTTTTCTGTAGGATCTCATTTCCTTCAATCACAACCGTGATAAACTGGCCGCGGCCCATGCTAGACGCGCGTTGACATCAGATCTCAGTAATCAGCCGGACACTGCCCCCGATACGGACGATTTATATGCGAGGAAGTTGGGCCTGGATGTTATAGAAGTGGAAAAGTTGATCATACAGTATCTCCTCACTTCTGGCAAGCCATCAGATGTAATGAGCAAGTCTTCCGCCGATCAAACGAATTTGGACCTATTCACTGCCCTCGAGTTGAATCGAAGCCTTCGTCAGTTCGTCGACAAAGATTCTCGGGACGCCGTCCAGTCTTTGGTTGTGTCCATACTGAATTCCACAGTTGAGCACTTACGGTCGCGTAGTTCTTCGGAGGAGTACATTGTACCCAATATCATTTCATTCCGCAATTCTCGTATCAGCTCTGACGAAGGCTTGGATGACGTGAAAGATGTTCTGCGGCCCGGCGGTAACCTAGATCCTGAAGGTACGTTAGTTTGTTATTGACATTTTCCGCCCAATATCCAATTCGGTTTGCCAACTATAATCCGCGCTCCTTAATGTTGTGGTTGATCTAACCCGTATGAACGAATTCGCCATACTAATAACAATATCTCACTTTACAGTTTCAGTATACAAATCGCATTTCTATAGACTTGTATATGGACAACGTTTCGCCCTTGACACAATAGCTTGTGTTCAAAGTTGTGTTATGTCACGCTAATCCACGGTTCCTTTGGTTCGCTGAAGTGGCAGCGATCAACCGGATGAAGCCAGCCCTGTACGTTCAGCAACAATTATTTGTCAGCTCAAGGCTGCTTTTGAGGTAGAGAAAAAGATCCGTCATTCGTTCTGCACCTCAAGCTTGTCTGGTCGCACCCACCGTTAGCTATAACTAAACATACCGATTATTGTTAATGGTTCTGAAGAGACAATACGAAATGCACGCACCTGCTAGCTTTCGTCTTTCCGTGCTTTTCAGATTGCCGAAGGTAATTAACTGTTTTGAATTTTAGCAAAAAATTTGCAGGTGAATGCTTAATAGTGAATAGCATTGTTGGTTGGATTCATCAAAGTCTATAAGTAATTGGCCATTGGCTAGCGAATAAGCGATTCTCCACTGTTCTTTGCATTCTCAATGCTCAACTTGTTTTTACAGAACCACGAACCGCTTTTTTGTCTCTTAACTCTTGTCACCGAGGACCTGGAGATAGGTGCTCAACTCACCTATCTTGTAGTTGCATTATTCATGGTGAACGTATAACTTCTGGAGACAATCCACATATTGCTGGAGCCAGAGCTATTTTCATTAATCTGTGACAATAGTAAGTGGAATTTTCATAGTTTTAAGACTCGTATCTACTGGTCAACGCGGAGAGCCGTTCTTCAGCATAGTGGTATATCTTGATCCATACGGTTTAGAAATCCTAGACACCTTCGACCATCGTTGCCAGCGAAACACCGCTTCTTATCGCGCGACACGGGCTTATTTGCAACAATGAGTTGCGCATCATCATCAACAGCAGTACATCAGCCATTTGAACTGATGCTTCGTTGCCGTAAAACCATGAGGACCTATGAAATAAAGAATAAGAGAGTGAGAAGAGGGACTCTCCTGAAAACCTTAATGCCCTAAGCAAACATTCAGGGTCAGGGTGCCTACACCTTGTGTACACACAAGGTCACAAACAGCTGGCTGTCGTACAACGATCAGGCGGCATCGGCGAGACAGCTTCCTTGCCGCTTTCACTGCCCCGCGTCATACTCAGCCATTACTTCACAGACAACTCAGCACCAAACACACTTTAAACAGGCAATCCGATTAGGAGACGGCAGCAGACGCGCCACTGGTGTCTACTGCGAGTCATGTCCTGTAAACTCTCGAGCCATGCACAGGGCGAGTCACGTGGACTCCAGCCCGGAAGGCGAGACGGACCAATGGCATCCAGTTTGGTTGTCAGTGACTTCATTTCCCGCTGCCAAATCAACTTCTGTCCACCTCGAACCTTGCGCCACCCTACAACTGGTAGACTGAACAAAGTCCTCTTAGATAAGCGCTGACCAGGCATACGTAGAACGTGCTCGAGCCAACGCAACTTATTCAGTGCTATCTGTTGTTCTACGGAGCTAACATGATTATCATCACCTAGTACTCGCCTACGCACATCATCGTTGCGGACATCATCATCATCATCATGAACAGCAGTACATCAGCCATTTGAACTGATGCTTCGCTGCCATACAACCATGAGGACCTATGAAATAAAGAATAGGAGGGAGAGAAGGGGGACTTACCTGAAAACCTTAATGCCATAAGCAAACATTCAGGGTCAAGGCGCCTACACCTTGTGTTCACAACATACCGTCACAAACAGCTGGCCATCGTGCAAAGATAAGGCGGCATCGGCGAGACAGCTTCCTTGCGGCTTTCACTGCCACGCGTCATAATCAGCCATTACCCCGCAGATAACTCAGCACCAAACACACTTTAAACAGACAATCCGATTAGGAGCCGTCAGCAGACGCGCCACTGGTGTCTACTGCGAGCCATGTCCTGTAAAGTCTCGAGCCAAGCACAAGGTGAGTCACGTGGACTCCAACCCGGAAGGCGAGACGGACCAACGGCACCCAGTTTGGTCGTCAGTGACTTCATTTCCCGCTGCCAAGTCAACTTCTGTCCACCTCGAGCCTTGCGCCATCCGACACCTGGTAGACTGAACAAGGCCCTCCTAGGTAAGCGGTGACCAGGCATACGTAGCACGTGCCCGAGCTAACGCACTTATTCAATGCTATCTGTTGTTTAGGGAGCTAGCATGATCATCACCACCTAGTACTCGCCTACGCACATCATCGTTGCGGACACGCTGGTGCCATCCGACACCAGCACTACTTCGCAACAATGATGATCAAAGACTTGAAGGCGCCTCAGATCTTCAGACCAAAGGGGCCAAGTTTCACTACCATAGAGGAGAACGGCCCTCACTGTGGCCTTGTATACACGGCCTTTCAGACGGAGGGAAACTCCCTTCTGTCGCCAAAGATGACGCAGGTCAAGAAGGCAGCTCTGGCCTTTGCAATGCGTGAGCTCACGTCAGTTTCTATGCGCCCATCATTGCTGATGCAGCTGCCAAGATAAGTGAATTGATCGACCACATCGAGTTCCTCGTTAGCAAGCGTCAAGGGGTCATCGAGTGGCTGGTGGTCCCGCAGCAACACTTTGCACTCTGAAGGTGCGAAGTGCATACCAAATAATGGGACCACTCTGGACAGGCTATTCAGGGTTGATTGTGCTGCCTCAACATGGTCGAAAAGCAAGACGATATCGTCCGCATAATCTAGATCAACTAACCGTTCACCAGGCAGCACTTCAACACCTACATCGTGAGCTTCCGCAAGGGAACACTCCATGATAGAATCCACGACGAAATTGAACAGAAACGGGGAAATCGGGCAACCCTGTCGAACGCCACTTGTAGTCGAAAAGCTTACGAAAGGACACTGTAGACCCTGAAGCGGCCTGTAGTGTTCGAGTATAGAGCACGAAGGATGTTCACATATTTCGTGGGAACACCTTTCCGCGCAAGTATTTCGAACAGAATCGATCGATCGACTGAATCGAACGCACTCGTGAAATCGAGAAACACAGCTATTGTCGGTCTGCGGTATGCGTGGCGCTGCTCTAGCACCTGCCGCAAAGTAAATATATGGTCTATACAGCCACGTCCTGGGCGAAAACCGGCCTGCTCTTCCCTAATCCGAGATTCCCGTTCTGAAGTGAGGCGACGAACGATAATTAAGGTCAATAATTTTGTCACAACTGGCGTTAGGCTAATACCCCTGTGGTTAGCACAGTCTGTGCGACTGCCCTTCTTGTATATTGCCACTATAATCGATTCGCTCCAATTAGCCGGCACACTCTCTTCGTTCCAGATACGTTCGAATAGGGAGGTCAGTGCTTTACAGAGGACCTCACCACCATCCTTAAATAGTGCAGGTGGTAGGGAATCCGGGCCAGCGGCACGAAAATGATTAAGGGCTGTGATCGCGTTTCGGACTTCGGCCTCCGACGGAGGTTCTAAACTAACCGTCCATGGCTCGTCCTGCATCACCTGAGTAGGAAGAGGTCCGGGAGCAGGGGGCCAGCTGAACTGATGTTCAAAGTGCTCAGCCCAACGAGCCATACAGCGCTCATTATTGTGTATCAGCGCACCCGCGCTGTTTCTGATTGTCTCACTGACGCCTGGTTTTCTCGGACCAGTGGTGCGTATTAGCTGGAAGAGCTTGCGGTAATTGCCTACTGCTCCTGCCTCCTCCATTTCTTGAGCCCGACTGCTCCACCAGGCTTCCTTGTCAGCACGTAGGCTCCGCTTTAGTTCACGCCTAATAGCCCGTCTGGTCACATTGTGTTCAGAACCAGCCGGGAGGTGCCTTCTAGCTTCCAAAAGGTTCACGGACCTCTCGGATATCCAGTGACTGGTGCGGTGACGATGGATAGTGCCACAAGCAGATGCTCCTGCGTCGTGCATAGTGGCCGAGATCTTATTCCACTGAAGTTCAGTATCATTAGGACAAGACAGCGAGAGTTCGCTATGCATTGCTTCTTGATAGGCTTGCCTGACCGAGGGCTGGGACAATTTCTCCGTTGCCAATCGGGGGAGACGCTTTGTGCGCCTTCCGGTAAAGTTCATGGAGAAACGACAGCGCACCAAGGCATGGTCAGAGTCGACACAGGTACTCCAGTACGAGCGGCAATCCAGAATGGAACCGCGCCACCTGTAACTTATGGCTATGTGGTCAATTTGGGTCCATCGCTGACCAGCTACAGGTGGACGCCAAGTGGCACTTCGGCGCCCACTGTGTCTAAAAGCAGTGCTAGTAAGAAACAACTGGTGCTCCGCACACAGTTGCAGCAGACGCTCGGCGTTGTCAGTCCGTTCGGAGTTACGTCCATACTTACCACCCAGCTGAGCTTCTGAAGAGCTCTGACGCCCTACTTGTGCGTTCATATCCCCTGCAAATACTATAATATCTGAACTAGTAGCACTGCGTAGCAGCGTGTTCAGTTCGTGATAGAAAGTGTCCTTGACTGCATTAGAACTGCAGTCCGTGGGAGCATAAGCAGAAATCACAAACAAACAGCGTTTTGTTTTACTTCGCGAATTCACCTTAGCTGATGTCGTCAAACGGGCTGCACATAAACGACTGTTCACCGGAATCCAATCAACCAACAACGGCTCAGCCTTGGAGCTTAGAATGATAGCTACACCAGCTTGACCCGTGAGTGCCGCATCGGCGTCTCCGGATGCGTGCAACCAATAACGAGAGGATAAGCCGGGTGCAGTCAATTCAATAACCCCGTTAGGGTCATTAATCCTAGTTTCGGACACACAACACACATCACACAACACCCAGTGTGTCCAAGGTGCGTGCGAGTGCAGCCTGCTGACCTGTTTGTCTTAGAGTGCGGACGTTGAATGTCGCCATGGA